TATATTATTACTAAAGTTGGGGACCTACATTGACCACCACCACCTTTACAAAAAAATATTTGCCGCGAGTGTTTTTTAAAAGGAGTCCATTTTCAGCCACTGTTTGTGCGTCCCCATGTCACCCACTTTCCTTGTCCGTACTGTGTGGACGCGGATGTGGTTCCCCCGTTTGCGGGAAAGTCAGGGGGGATCCGCACCAAGGGAGGACTTGGAAAGTGGGTGAAACGGTGCACAAACAGACTGTTTGAGTGCGGCCTTCAGAGCCTTTTTTTCAATGCTTGGTCTCACTCGGTTTCCACTAACTCGAGGTGAATTTTCACATTTTTTGAATTCGGGAACCAGACCTAATATTATCCCAGTTTCCTATTTACTATAATTTTAATTTGAATATGATTCGAAATAGAAAAAATAAATCTATTTTAAAAGGTGGTGGTGGTGGTCAATGTAGGTACCATAAAGTTGTGTTAAAAATGGTTGTAATTTCGTATATCAAGAATGGCAAAAAATATAATTTATTAGAAACGGTTAAATTCGGTTATTTTTTTAAAAATACAATAAAAATGTGAATAAGATGTGTGTATAAAGTTTACAGACATATTTTAATTTAAATTTGTTGTTAGTTTGACACTCCAAATTATTTCATATATATTTTTAACAATAAAAATTCAAAACAATACAAATAAAATTACTCGAAAGTTAAAAATTAGACTGGCCAATCGATGACCATTATTTTCAATTATGCCGAATTTTTAAAGCAACGTTCCTTTTTGCCGAAACCAAAGTTGACCACACATATAACCGACTTTTGCTTTTACAAATAAATTATTAAAAACTAATTATTATTTTGAAGCGATAAACAAAAGTTAAATAACATTTTATTTATTTCAAATTTTAAAAAATAAACGTTTTTGGGAACACATGATTATTAAATATTATTTTTTTAAATTAAATTTTTTGATATTCAAAAAAATATTAATCTATATGAACCAAAAACAATATAAATTTACCAAGAATATATTCTTTAAATGTAATTGTTTTTTAATAAATGATGTGATTTATAAATTATTTTCAATAATCATTCTCATTAATATTATTTAAATTGAATATAATAATTGGTTTTACAACATTATTAAATACATAATCATTGTGCAGTCAATTAATTACAATGATATAACAGTAAAAATGTATAATGACTATGATTTGTAACTTTGATTGCAAAAAATATTAATTAAAGGCTTATCAACTTAAAATATAACGTTGTGTTTATTTTTCGTAACTGTTAACCACTTATATGTCTAAATCGTTGTTCATTCTCAAAATAACGTTTCAATTAAAACATATGCAATGTGATTATTACTGATGAATAATAACTTACAAATTTTATACTTTTTACAATTTGGGTTAAATTATCATGATTTACAATTCACACAAATTGTTTTAATCGTGATTTACAATTCATTTAATGTTACAATTGTTTGTTATGTTAAGAACTTCATTATTTGAAATTGCATGTATTTTATTTTTTTGTACAATATATGAAACAATGTCTAACAGTCTTTAAACCAATTTATAAGTTTGTTTAAATATATTATCCCAATTATTGTTTATCTCCTGTTGTTGTTATTGAATATCATGATGTTGGTATTTTGCTTTTGAGAAAAAACTCGATTATCAATTTTACCATAATGAAAAAAATGCCAAAAACAACAAGTTGTACATATTTTTCAATAAAATTTATTATTTTATTACCAAAATGAATATTTGTTATATTTTGCTCAAATAATTTTAAAACTTCATTCTATTTAATTGTTTTATTATTTATTAAAATAACGAACTTTTGAGCTAAAATATATTAATTAAAGCATTTTTTTAATTTAGTTTGCACGTATAATCTATATGACTAAATTTATTATTGTTTACTAGTTTAAGTAAAAAGAAAAGTAACAAGTCAAAATATGCTCAAATGGTTTAAAAATTAAAATTTGGGGTTAATTTTAGTGCGGTTGGCCAGTCTATTAAAAATGTCGATCAAACGAATTGAACAAGATATAAAGAACAAAATCAATTAATATGTTGTGTCGTTTATATTATCGTTGACATTATTTACAGCAGTCCCGATGGTGAAGAACCAGATGAGGATTACGAACAAGATGATGACTGCAAGTATTGATGTAATAAACGAAATAATGAAGAAGACGAGAGAAATGATCGCAAACATTCTCGCAGAGTCATTCCCCGAGTGTTTGAACTTGCGATATACGACTATCCAAATACAGCAACAGAAAAATCCAAGTACAAAGAAAAGGAGTGACGAAATGAGATCCGCGTCGTCATTGGACTTGGTTTTAACAACAGGAGCTTGTGCAGTTGGAGCAACATACACCTGAGGGGGTGGTTGGTTGTAGACTGGTTGTTGTGGGTATCCAGAATTCATCTCTTGTTCTTGGTAAGTCATTGTATTTTTTTTCATCGTTCGACTTAAATATACAACAGTCGTCGTTAATGATTTTTTTTTAATATTTTGATATTATACTTTTACTTAATTATATAAAAGTCTGTCTAAAAACGTTGTCCATTTGACAAAAAAATACACAAAATATGTTTAAAAATTTGGGAATTAGAAAAAAACAATCAAATCCTGGTAAAAATTATGAAACAATGTTTTGTGAATGTTTCGAATTGTTTTCCGAAATATTCCAGTTTTGATTGTCCAAAAATGCCTGACATCATTGGAGAGCGGACAACGTTTTCAGACTGACACTAATTCAATAAATCGACAAAAAAGGAATTGTTTTTATATGACTGTTTTTATTTCGCTATTTTTAGACTTGTTTTTAATAACCGGAAATGCACATTCGTTTGTTTATTATTTTAATAATAAGTAATGTATTATTAATAATTGTTATAATAACAACTTTATTATTAATAAAAATATATTATAATATATTTGTATTTTATTATATACTTAATATATTATTGTAGTTTTGGTAATGTGTATAAATCTATTATTGAAAAAGGATTTTAAAACAAAAAACGGGATAATGCCTTTTTGAATAAAGAAGAATTATAATGCTCCCACAGGGTTACGCTAAAAATCCCCATTTTTATCAAATAATTTTAAAGTAGAAATACAAAAAATTGATTTTCACACACAAAAAACTATAATTAATGTTCAATAATACAATATATATTCTATAGTTATCAATATCAATATTTAACTGTTGTAACAACACAATTCAGTTAATTTAAAAATAATTATATTAATTATAATAAATAATAATGAATCATAACTTTTTGTCGAAATAATTATATAAATCATTAATAAAAAAAAATAAATTGTTATTTTTTTGAAAAACAACATTTTTTATAAAAAACACACTTTTTAACAAATATAAAAAATAATAACTAGGGTGCGCAACCGTTGACAAAATATTTGCTGTTTGCCCGTTTTTTAACACAAAAATACTTTGCTTTAATTGTTTTATTTTTACAACTAATCGTGATCTTCAAATTGTTGAGATCTGAGATTTCATTAAAAAGATCTGCCATAACAACCAAAAAATCAAAGCCAGAAAATCGAACAAAAAAATATTTTTTTTGTTATTATGCATTTTAGTTTTAAAAATTACATTTTTACTTTAAAACTTTAATGCCAAAATTATTTAGCATTTTAATTAAAAATCCAATATTTGCTCTTTTTACCACCACGAATAAATGATATAATTACAATATTTTCAACAATTTCATATGATTGTTATATTCACTTTATATTATAACATCAACAATACCTTTCATTATTGTTGATATTTAAAAACAAAAAGAAAACAAGCCAAAATATAAGTAAAAACAGTATTTGGTATAACAGTATATGTTAAACAACAAAATTATAAATCTAGTTAAAAAGACAATTGAATGATATTGTTTCTTGCTTTTGTTTTAGAATTTTATATACAAATATTTAGTTTGATCATTCACACGATATAAAAGTTGTTTGACAATTATTTTGCATTTTTCATTATTATTATTATTATTTTCAATAAATTTTTCTTAATTAAATTATTATACATTTTATTGTTGAAATGATAATTACAGAAACATGTGTCATATTTTTATTTTATCTACATTATAATACTATATTATCGATAGCAAATAAACAACACCAAATTTTTTTATTTGATAATAATTATAAATTTCTCTGTAACTTTCTTGTTTTTTGTTTATTGTTTTTTGGCTTATTGATAATTATATACACATTAATACCCACAAAAAAACAAAACATCATTAGTCTCTTGTGGCCGTAAGTTGTTGAAACATACAGAGATTGTTGTAACAATCTATTTATTTACATTTCAACAATGAACTATCTTTGTTTTTATCATTTATTTTTATTTACATATTCAACCTGGTTTTTTGAAATGAAAACTTATCGTCTTTGTTTTTCAATTACTTAAATGAATAGAATGTCAAAGTCGTCTTTATATACAATAAAATACTAATGACTCATATCATTTTATTAAAAAATCAATTGTTCATTCATTTTTTTATGTCTATCATGTTTATGACAACACAGTATATATAGCGTTATTAAACATTATCTTAATGTTTGTAAGTACCTATTTTAATTTCATTAATATGTTGCTTGTGTTGTATTTTTCGAATTATACAATTTATTTGGAAACGAAAAAAAAACAATGTGTTGTTTATACCAAATTATAAAATTTGCTGTCAATTATTTATTTATTAAGTTATATAACAAAAATTTCTTTTGTTATCTTATTTTTTTCAATCGTACTAATTTGTCTTTTAATAAATACAAAATATCAAAAATGTTGTTTTTAATTATTATTTGTTTTTTATCAATTTTTGGGACAAATTAAAAGTTTATTTACT